AAATACAGTTATCGTTTGATTATAATTCGCTTGCAATTCAATTCCCAAGGTGTGCATTTTTACACAAACAAGCCTGTCAGAATTTTCGCCAGTTCAGAGGCATAGGCAATATTACTGCAGTCATGCGAGGAAGCAAAATCTGGTTGGTAAAGTTTGTTGCCGATGTCACCGGTTGGTATTCGCGAGAAAATAAATTACTACTTGGGCGGCTTCCGAAGAGATAATTCACATGTGCGTCAAATAGGGAATCTGGGAGCTTTCCACTAAAAAATTTGATATCTGCATCGATTGTCCGAGCGGTCTTTCTTGGTTTTGCAAGTGAAGATCATGTTAAAATTATATAAAGGGGAAAGAAGAAAAGATTTACAATCAAATTTTTTTCAAAATTGTATGGAGCTCTGCAAGTACTGTTACAAGGGCCTTATCTCTTCTTTTCAGGAAAGCAATATCCTTTGCAATCACACAGAAGGGGAATATTTAAACGGGATTTATTATACATCAATTATTGGTATACAAACGTTAATTTTACAGGACATAGTCACGTTTCATGTATAAATCAGTTTTCTTCGCCGTTTTTTGGTCATTTCCATCAAATCAGAAAAGGTATGGTTCCTTTGATCGGTCCTGTGCTCCATTAAAAAATACGCTCATGGCGGAAGGTTTTTTCTTGTCAGTAACTGCTCCATCTGGTCTTTCCCCACATCCGCCACCGGTTGCTACTGCGAGCGTACGTCCCTCAGCAAGGTTAATTCTACCAAAGCTGTCTTCCAGTGAAATTTCTTCATCCAAAGCTATTAGATCCGCTGCATCGTGCTCGGGCTGCTTCGATCGGTTCTGAAACCTTGACAAAACGAGATTACGTGGTTTTGTTTAAAGCACACTCCTTGAAAAAAGACTGAATGGAAAGGTGAGGGAAAGACGATGGACTGGCTTTTACACAGGTTTCTTCGATGTTAGGGAACAAATTCTAATATTTTGATCAGCTGCAATTCTTAGTGCGACTCTCCCAACAATGTGATTGACATTTTTTTTTCAGTTGCTTTAACCAGTGGTCTTGCGGACGGAACGTCTTTTTGCAAAAGAACCATGAACCGGTAGGGGATCGAACCACTAATTTATTTCCAAAACTTCTGAGAAGTGACGTGTTAAACCGCTACACCACTGATTCTTGTACTCCTTCAGGTACTTGCTGGAACACCTATATTCTGTATTTTATGCAATTCGCAGTTTTTATGTAGTCTCAAGCTACTATCACAAGCAGCATGCACTTCTTCGTTTTTTACCGGTTTTTCGTGAGACTTCTGCTGTAGACACTGCGTCACTCGTTTATCGACCTGACGTTCGTTTCGTCCTTTGGAAGGTTTACTGGCTTAACGACTCTTCTGGGAGAAACACTTTGACGCTTGGAATATTGTCAGTGAATCAAGGTGGTATTTTACCAATTAAGGTTTAAAAATAAATACTGCTTCAGTGAACATACCGCAACAGTTTCGGAACTTTTTTCACGCTCTTTTCTTTCCTCTCCAGCTGTGTCACACTGGCGACGACTACGATCATGTGAAGTCAAGTCACGAATGCTGGTAAGGAAACTGCCTTTCTCCTCGATCTACAAGTAGAACTGGATGAAGCCTGTTATTCTACAAGAATCTCATCTCCTTTGGAATGAAGAGCTTCTTTGAAATACAGTATTGAGGGAGGGCTGATAGTTTTGAGGCGTATAAGTTGAAAATGCCTCTAATTAAGTTACCTTGAGCATGATAGCATATTCTGTCACTGGAACATGGATGCGCAAGCTGAGCGGATGAAGCGCTGGATTATCAAGTCGAAGTCGATATTCCATATCGAGCATCACCGGGAACAAGGCAATTGCCCGCTCCATTGCTTAACGGAAAATAATTGCATAAAAAATGAATTGGATATAAATAAAATGAGCGGTCAAATTCGCAAATGCAAATACATTCACGTTGTATAAATGTAAGCAGCCTCGCTCTACGGCCCCTCCTTCAGAAACACTATAAATTTGTGTTTTAGTACTGTCCCCTACGAATCGCTCATTCATTTCGATAGTAAATTGCTACTGACATTAATAGGAAGCGAACTAGGGCTCAGGACTTAGCAGAAAAGGCTGGAGATATGAAATTCATGTTGCTAGGCATATTAAGTGTTCGCATGAGTTCGTAGTGCTGGAACATATTAAGTGTTAGCTTTGTGGCTTTTGCATCAAGGTTTAATAATCCAAATTTGAGATTTCTGTTGCTGGGTGTGAAATGAAAGCTGATCGAGTTTAAATAC